AAATCTCCTACTAATTCCAAACATTCACCGACATACTTGGAAATGGACTGAACATGTGACCTCAAATCCCCATTTCAAGCCTCTTCACAACGGCTGACTAAGTTTTGAAGCTGCTGTTCAGGAAGAAATGCAAATACAGGTTTAGGGGACAAGCACAACTGAGCTCTGTGTTCAACAGTCCTTTAACGTACACCAAATGGTCTTTTTGATTCAAAATCATTTCATGCAATGCTAAGCAATGCCCTCACTGTTGCTTTTGCTGACTTGCAGTAAACCAGTGGGATGCCAGGCTGCCACCATCAGAACATCTGCTTTATTGGAAAAGTATTTCAGCAGGCCTCGCCTTGTAATACATTATGTGACCCTGGAAGGCAGGCAGCAAGCACTCCTGCAGGCAAATAGCTCCCTAAAAGTTAAAGCCACCTAATGTTTTGGGAGCAGCAGCATCATTTCTGTCAGCCTGCTCTACCCTGGGTCTTAGAGCTGTAATGAATAAGAGAAAAAAGTGTATCACGGAAGCTCTGAAGACTGATCCCAGCTGATGGACTGGGCGTCTTGTGCCAGGAAAGAACATGAGAAGGGAGGGAAGGAGAGGAAAGCAGAGGAGAGACGAACTCAGCTGTGAAGCCCTGAAAACAGAACTACTCCTGGGAGCGCTGCTTAGTTGCCTCAGTCAGAATGAACTGGAGCAGCAAAATGTGTCATATAAATTATTTCAGCTATGAAACAGGTTAGAAGCGCTTATCCAAACAGCTTCACTAGCTCACAGATAGCTGCCCATCTTCATTTACAGCCTTTCCCAGAACAGTCCCTTACCTCTGACTTTTATTTTAAGGAGTTACTCTTTTCTTCTTTTAGACTCTGAACTCTCCTAAAATGTAAAACTGTACTGGTTTTGTAATCTTTTTGTTCCATTCATAACATGTCAACAAAACCCCAACGAAGCAAAGCAGTGAAAAGAAACAGTGCAAACGTTTCAATTCCACTAACAATGTAAACAGCATCGAAAAGATTTTGAATCCTGTTTGTCTACCTGTGAAGTTAGTAGTTAGTGGATGATCCCTTGCTACAGTTAGAGAAAGGTCTTGCTCCCATTGTTATTGCTATTGCCTTTTGAAGTGAAATGACAGTGGCACTCTTTAGAATGGCAGCATTTTACAGCAATTTAACTCCCTGCCTAAAGAAGCAAATTTGCATGAAAATTATCTGGAAAGCACAATCACATACCCACACAGTTTATATAAACACGCGGGTATTTTCCATACAGGTATGACAAACAGCATCTCAAAGGCCATAGGGATGAAGAGTAAATAAATTGGCAGGATTATTTTCTCCATTAATTTCCTAGAGAAGGAACCATTTCTTGGAAAAGCCTACCATTATCTTCCAACCTCTTCTTCCATGAGCAGTGCAATTCATTTCTACCCTCATTCTTATTCACCTTCCATGAAAGCACCACTGAGGCCCTAATGAAGAATGCTGGGTAATTCTGCCATTATTGGATTTTCATTACTTATTTATTAGACATGAGGTCTGATATCAGTAAGCAGCCAGGTGAGTCGAATCAGATACAGCATTATCTGATTTCTGTGCTGTAAATCAGATTTTAATAGAGAAAAGATCAGTATCCCTTTGGGAGTGGAAAGGATATGTTTATAATGTGTTCTGAATGTGTGCTACACAGTAGCAAGTATGGAAAAAAAAAAAATATTTCCTCTAATCAATTTTCCACCTTCTCCTCCCAGGTTCTTCCACCCTTAAGATGACAATGAATACAAATGGAAGTTCTGTTTGTGCCAAGTGCTAGGAAATAACTAAGATAGGATAAGCATGCACACACACTGCACTCCCACACAGACACACAAAAATACTGAATTCTGCAATATTAAAAATACGATCAAGACATCACTGTTTCCCTGCTGCCAGAATAACTCACATATCAGGTTCATCTAATTCAACCATTGAAATAAGACCTTAGGTAGCCTGCTTTCAACCCCAATACAGCTTCTGTCTTAGGTATTTATCCTTGTCTCTTTCTATTCAGAAGCTATGAAGCATCACGACAGCACCTGTGAATTAGACACAGGTAACATGTGACTACCCCTTGAAGGTTTTACAAATTTCCATCAGCAGAGTAATCTAGATATGCTCAGACAGGCATCGGTATCAAACATCAAAAACCTCCATGCAAAGCCAGCTCTTTCCTGTACTGCAGCGTTATTTGAATTTGGAGTTGCTGGAAATGACTGTTTGCAAAAATGAGAGCTCCCCTCTCACCTAAAACACATCATGTTTGACTGTTCAGACAGAACTGAAGTTGTGGAATTAGTTTAGCACCCAGATACTTAACACAAATGTTCTGCGGACTCAAAAATTACTTTCTAGAACCAAACTTGTTAGGTCATATTCAATTAATTCCATAACAGACTGGAGTAAAAGGTCTTTCAAGTCATGTTTGGCTTAAGAATTCATTTTCTTTCATGATTTACACATCGAAATTAATTTATAACCAAACCATTTTATTCACTGAGGTTTGTGAAGGCGTGTGCTCAGAGTGCCATTAACGAATGAACAGGTAAAGCTCTGCTACTGTCAGCCATCAGCAGCAATGCTGACATCTATGCAGCACTTCAGTATCTTCTTATTCCCTTTTCTTCCCAGGCGAGCCTTTGCTTCTCCATCACAATTTACAGGAGGACTGACATTTTTAGAAGTAACTGCAAAACTACAGGCAGCACAGAAGCCATTAACACAATCAAAACTAGTATCAAACTTAGGTTATCTGAATGTAAAGCTTATTTAGTAGGGGAAAAAATCCAACCAAGTCACAAGTAATCATATGCTGTATTTGAGATAATGGTTTCCTTTTTGGAGGATGCAGCTACACTATAATTTGTTTCAGCTGAAAAATAACATGATTATCTGAAAAATAACATGATTGAAAAATCCGTATTTGGATGAGTAAAGGTAAGCTTTAGTCCCTTGGGCACGAGAGTAGTTTCAGGTTGTAATGACCTTGGTTTCTCATACACATCTTCAAGGAAGACCAGATCATTTTTGTTTTCATGTATCCGAAATGATAATGCAGAGAAATAAATAAAGGAACTAGGACCTGTGAGAAACATGAATACTGAAAGTATAGCCTGAAATAGGGTGCAGCATACACATCACTAAGGAAAACACTGTCAAGGTCTGATGTTTTCTCTTGGAAACAGACAGAAACAGGGACTGTGAGAAGCAGAGATGCTGGTGTCATGTTCACATGAAACAAGTAGGAAACAGTCACTTAAACGCATCTTTGTCCCCCAGAAAAAGAAGAAAAAAAAAAAAAAGACCAAATAAGTGTAATAAAATCCCTGTAGGTCCATATACAGCTATGCCTCTAAGTAACCTGAAGAAGTTTATTACAGCACAACTAGAACCACGAGCACCCAAGCAACTGACGTATCAACCCAAACCAAGATCCAAACCATTGCACCTCCCACTGCTTTCCCCTACCACTGGCACAACTAGATAGTAACCCCTTTCTCTTCTTTGCTTCAGCAGATCAGGCAGTCATCATCTAGTAGGAACAAAGCCATGTCATTTGTGAGAGCAGATCACCTTTAAAACTACCATCTTTCTAAAAAGTATCTTGGAAATCTGATGAGATTTATGTCATTAAACTCAAACCCCCCCCCCCCATCATGTGTCTGAAAAATAACTTCTTAAACTAATAATGAAAACTACCAGAAAGGACTGCAAACTCACAGCATCTACCACATTTTGATTTATGCAGTAGCCTTTTGCAAAGCAACACAAGCTTCAGAGATGCTCCCTTAGTTAATGTGAAGCTGCTTTGAGCTTATTTCACCTCACTTTGGAGGGGAGAACATTTACTGAGAAATGAAAAGTCCCTCAGTGGAAAAGGCCACAAAGTTCACTGCACAACAGGAGATGAGCAGATGAAGATTCAGTACTTACTTGTTGACTGTACCCATCAGTGCAAATTAAAGTATTTAATTCTTCATCAAATTAAGAGAACATCCCTTATACAATAGATTCAGCTCTTACAATCCAGACAGCAGTTCACCTGGCAAGTCTCTCAAGTCTTGGCATCGTATCTTTTATCATTAGTGAGCTACTACTGCCTACCACCTCAACTGCACATGTTCAAACCCTCAGTGGAACAAGATACTTCCTGGACTATCACACATGCTGCTGGCCAGCACAGTGGGTCAACCTCCAATTAGGTATTAACCAATGAAGCCACTGCACTAGAAACTGCAAGAGCCACGTGCCCTTTCTACATGGAACGGCTCCAACATCTGGCCGTGTAAATCAGACTGCAAGACTAGAGCCTCCTAATTACTGCTTTGATTCCCTTATGTGTTAATGAACCTGTATCTAAAATATGCCATTATTTTTCTTAGTAAATACATTCTGAATGACTCAGTGGGGGAGAAGGAAGCAGAAGGATGAAGATTGTTTCCATTTTTGGGGGTTAAGAAACCTCCTTTCTCTAAAGATAAATGTTCCTTTCTAGATCAAACGCACCTTTTCCCAGTTGAAAAACAAGAGAGAGATCTATTAATTCAGAGTTGACAAACAGACAATATAAGTGAAGCAGTTCAGGGGAAGGGAGGTAGCTTTAATAATCTGTATCACATTATTATTTGCCGGTTGTAACTTCATGGCTTATAACCAGGAGTTTAGGCACTCGCAGCTTCCCCTCCCTGGAGGGCAATGTATCAAGATGGTAATGTATCATGACCTCAACAAATGTTCTATTTAAACAGCACAATGGCTCCCAAATGGAAAACATGTTTCTGCCTGTGATATCTCAGGTATAAATGTATTTCTTCTACATTTTTTCCAAAACACCCTTCATTTCTAGATAAAAAATGGTCTGGCAGGGATTCGATGACATGTTCTCCCTTCAAACACATAAGGCCCCTCAGCACTGGTGAGGCTGCCTTTAGGATAACATCAAACCCACCATCCCGAGGCACCTGACTTACTGAGGTTCCACTTAAGGCCTGTTGTGGTCACGCTCTCACAGGGGTTCCCGATGGGGATGAGGCCACACCAGTCACCTTCCAGTCCTGTGTCCACACGCAGCTTGTGCTTGCCCTGGAAGACAGAAGTGCCTCTGGAGTCAGTGCTTGTCAGGGACCCAAACTACATTTGCCAACAGACCTTACAAATAAACCAGAAAACGCCTGGATGGAGACAGGTCCAGAATATCCCACAAAGGCTCAGGAATATTTGGCTGCAGGAATACAGGTCGCTGATGTTTACAGAGGGAGGAGAGACATGCGCATAGGCTGCAGACCTCAGGGCTTTCAAAAACTCTGTGTCTAGGCTTTTCTAAGCAGAATCTGGCTTTGCTCATTCATCTAGGTGCTACTGAAATTAACCTAAATATTTAGAGGAACATGGTTACACTAAGTAAGAACAACAAAGTAAAATTAAACCATATTTTTTCTACATGTAAGCTGAGTTTATCTTCTAACTACCTAGCTCATGAGGTGCAGGAGAAGCAGCAGCTATTCATGATGGATTTGTGACCAACCTTAATCAGTACTTAAAGACTCTCTGTGAACATCTTGGCAGGTTATCAGCATAGGAATAGCTGCAAAGAAAAGTAGAGTGGAAATCTTTTATAGAATAAAGAAAAGGGGGAGAAAAAAGCTGAATGATGCAGATCTGGAACAATCCGTGTTCTAAGAAAGTGTTTTATGAAAACTAGCTACAGGAAAACAGCAAAGGCAAAACAGTGACAAGATCAGTGAAGAAATCATCCTCTGGTCTCTTCTACATGGGTAATTTATTCTTTCAAACTGGTCTTCACCTGGAGGAAGGTTTCTTTGAAACAGAGGTTTAATTTTATTCTCTTCTGGATGCACAGGCAAGTTAAACCCTTGAGCATGTCTTTTACACACAAACTCTGCACCACAATAAATAAAATCTGATATGCCTAGTTATTCATCTACCAAAATAAAAGAAGTCTCTGAAACACAATGACTATTTAGTGAGTAGTTTGTTAAGCAAGAAGCCTGGGTTTTATAGCAAAAGAATGAAGAACAGTTGAACTATACAACTCAGGTAAATGTCCCAAGCAACAAAAATACTGCTTCACAAATTTTCTCTGGGAAATGTATTTAAGCATTTTTATTATGCCCTGTTCTCTCACATGCTCATTCCAAACGCCCTTGCAAATATAAAGCCACTAGTTAGAAAGTCAAAACTGGAGGTGAAATATCTCATTGCTGAGCTGTTGCTGTCTGAGGCATTCGACAGCTTCTCCTGTTAATGCCAAGTGCATTATGAAGAAACAACCTCAATACATGTCATGCTCTCAGTTAACAAATGAGCCTTGGAAAAGCTGTCAATTAGGTAGTATCAGATTGCATAGCTTAAGCCTGTCTGTTTGCAGAGCCACAGGAAAACCAATCCAATATCAACTACCTTCTCAGGATGTCCAAGTTTATGTGGTGATGAGCCATGTATTTCTATAGCGGTTGTGAACACTTGCTTGTCAGATCCAGAGGTGGAACAAATTCAGGCTTGATAACCTTTTAGCTGTGCAATATGCCATGTTATTTCTCTCTCACAGTACAGAGGGAGGAGGAAAGGAGAGGTACAAATACAAATGTCTCTTTACGTGATTGCAGATATGGTCTATAATGAAACTAATGATGGAGAGAACAAAGGGGTGGGACTGTCTGTTGCCAGTGGATATATACATTGCTGCTCAGAGCTGCTTGAGGAGAAGAGCAAACTCACTATATTTATCAATTAGTAAAAGAATAAGAAAAAGAGGTAAAAATAAGTGGCCTGACAGAGAACCTGTATTAAGACCTGTATACTCAAAACCTGTCCATTTTTGGACATATAAACTCAAAAACTACCTTTGGGTTCACATTTCCCATCCGATGACATTCCAGCCCATCTTACAGATAGGGATTTAATTCAGTAGAAATTTATGCAGAAGGCTGTCTTTCTGTGCTCATGAAATAAACCTTTAAACCAAAAGATGCCATTAGCATACGCTTGCTAATATGGAGGATTTTATCAGAACTCTTTTAATGTCTGATACTTTCCCAAAGTCCCAGTTCACAGTTGCCAGCGTTTATGTGAGAATCCTGACTTTCTTTCCTAAAAAGACATTTTCAAGGCCTCATTTGTGAAGGGAAATTTCAAACTAAAAGCCCAAAGGGCTAAACCCAAGGCAGCAAGTAAACAGGAATTTAAATATTAAAATGCCAATTATTTGTTAGAAAAACCTCTCAACTGTTAAGCCAAACTTACGGTTTAGAGACTGGGTCACTGATACTAGACAAGGCACTTTTAAAGACTTTCCCTTAAATAAATCAATGAGATCTTAGTATTATTGAGGACAGTGGGAACAGAAAGGGGAAATGAACACTGGCAAAACATCCCAACCAACCAACCAACCGAACTAACCATTCATTTTTGCCCAAAAAGAGTAATCAGCCAATGCATTTGCTCAGTAAGGCTGTAATTTCAAAGCACTATGAGTCTGCCATGGGGAAAATGAGGTGCCCAAGTTTATCTTCAAACTTTTGAGTACAGATCTTTCAACTAAGCAAGACAGAACTGCTATTTGCAGGAGGAAGGGAGGATCAGAGCTTGTAATTTGCAAATACAAGTAATAATTTGTTCTATTTAAGTCTCTGTGATTAAAGGAACAATTATATACTGGCACTTAAAATATGAAACTGTTTTCAGTTTCTGCAGAACTCAAAGTTCCAAAATTAGGATTAAAATAAAAATCAAAGTTTGACTAAATAAATCCCTTCTTAAGGTTTTTTTTTCCTGCCTCTGTAGGAGGTAACTGTAATATTTTCACATTTAACTTAAGAATCGAATATTACCATGTTTGAATGATACTGGTGCTAAAAGAATGGCAAATCATGCAGCTGCATTGATTTTTATCTTATTAAGTCTGTTTTGAAGAACACTGATCAATCTTCAGCATTGATTACTTTCTCTTCATTTTGTCTCTGATGCTCGGAAATAAGATCAATTTCTAAGTTCAGCAATAAGAAGAAAATGTCAGAAGGTATTTTTAAGAATGCTTCATCCATACAGGTTAAACTTTTCCTTTTGATTCTAGTACCTTGTGTTAGAAGAAAGCATTTAACCAATAGTGGTTAAATATATCCGCACTCCAACATTTGTTTTGCTGAGGAAAGACTTAAAGACATAGTTGTTCTGTGTCACACCTCCTAACCGAAATGAATAAAAGTCTGATTGCCAGGAACTCATACACCTAACCCTGCTCAACGCTGTGAGACTCTAGAATCTTCAGTCAATTCTGCAAGCTAAAAAGCATATGAGCAGCATCAAGATAAAACCTGATAGCTTTTTGCATGCCCAGATACTCCAGTACATAGAAAATTACTTCTCCAAGTGCTCTCCAGACCAACTTGAATAAACGTATTGCAATAAATGTATAATCAAAACTAGATACAAAGCAAGCAAACATTATGAAAAAGAGAGAGAATGGGGACTGATCTTCAGCACTGCATTCTGAAGGGATCTAAAAGAGGGAAACCTGGAACCCGGCAGGCTGGAACTGGACACAGAAGAGAAGCACAAAGCCAGCTGACAAGATGCTAGGAAAGAATAAGGAATTAAAATTAAGCCTTAAAAAACAAATGAAGAAAGATATAATAAGCAGATCTTGGAAACTGCTGAAGGACGAGGACATGTGAATGGTAAGGGGAAGGAAAATGAATGAGTTACAGGATTACAGGACAAAACAACCGTATTCTAACTTTCAGGCTGTCCTGATAGTTTTTTCCAGCACAAATAGAATAACTGAAAACTCCTAGAAGCTGCTGATTTTCACCCGTGCTTGCTGTGAGATCTGGGACTACAGAGGAAGAGGATTTATTGAGATCTGCCCAACTGTTCTATGAAGCCTCCTTCACTACCTAGATCTTGTTTTCTGCAGTCTCTTGGTAAAAAGCAATTTTAGATCAGCTTTATTTCAACGATTAATCCATAGATGGCAGCACATGCTTGAAAACAAACAGCGGCAGCAAAAAACTAAATACAGATGTCATAGTGTTACCCAGGGAAATGGCAAAACCCCACAATCTGTTTTAGTACATAAACATCTGGGTGCAGAAAATAGTGTATTGATGAAAGACTCGGGGAATAGGTGGAAATCAACACGCTCACCAAAGACTGCAGTGGAGAGCAGGAAAGGAACAAGGATGCAACCAAGCTGAGAACATTCATGTTTCAAATCAAATATGATTGGCAATAAGGTAAAAGCAAAGTTGCAGAAGTATTCCTACTAATCATTAGTTGTATAAGAACTTCACAATAATAAAAGCTTTTAGGTTGAGGTTGTAAGCACAACAAATACTGCCATTTTTCTAAAAGGATGTATTTAAGATGAGCCATTTTGTTATAACCCTAAAATAACATCAACTGTCTTTTCAAACAAATGTGCATAAGCTGCTACTGCATGAATGCTATTCAAAGAATGTCATCTGAGCCAACCAGGCTTTTTGTTCATGTTGAAAATAAAACTAGCCACAGTTCCAGTGAAAACTCAGAAGTCTAAAAGCTCTTGTACATCGTATCAATGACTGCCCAAACTCCTATGGAATAACAGCAAATTTACTGTACTTCAATATTGAAAACTGTTGAACCCAATCCTGCTGATCCTCACTATTAAATGTTAGTGGTCCTGAACTGGAATGGAGAGACTTTAGTATATTGGTTATTTCTAAGACAGAGTCCCACCAAGCCTACCCTTCAAGAGCAGCACTCCACAAAAAGATGACTTTAAAGCAAATAACTCCCAGGCAGTAGAGAGAGAATAAATTATAATCATTATTAGACCCAATTAATGAACACATCTGCTTCAAACCAATTTATGACAAGGGTATAGAAAGAAATCCCTGTGGAGGTAAGTGTCACTAAACTGAAAAGATTTACTACACCCTGAACTTATGCATTGAAGTTGTTGCTACTGTACATCTAACATACAAATTATCCACAAAGAGGAAATGATCCCAGAGTTTCACACATCCACACATGAACTTTTTCTAGTGAAACCCTCCTGAGAGTCCACTTCTCATGTAACA